TTCCTGTCTCTAGATATCTCTACAGATTTGCTGCTGTTTTTGCATTTGTTTTGTTTGTAAAGCCTCCTTCAACATTACCTCTCCCTGCCCCATTGGCTAGAATTCAGTGAGACATTATTCTTGAGTTAAAAACCCTCACCATCTTGATTTTAGGAGACTTGGTTTCCCAAAGAACTACTAACTCATTAGCATAATAAAACATTGGGGATATATATATCCAAAGGCAAACCCATAGTGACGCCATATCAAGTTTCCGAAACTGTAAATCCTTATGGGAGCAGAACACCTCATCTTCCTCCCACAGAGTAGCAGTGGGGATTGAACCACTGACCTTTCAGTTGGCTGTCCAAAGCCAAACTCACAGCATTCTCAATAGATAGAGAGATTTCATAGATATATATATATCCTGCATGTATATTTTCAAAATGTTTTATTCTACGGATGTTCTAAAATATGTATGTTTCTAAATATGTATTTGGATGGATATGTCAATCTGAGTTGAGAGTTAATAGATAATTATTTGATTCTGTTTGGATTTGTATGTCAGGGGATAAGACAAGAGTCACATGGAGGAAGATATGATCATGATGGAAAACAGACTCTGTGTTTTTCACTCACACATGTATATATATCATTTTTGTTGTTGTTAACTTCTGTCACATCAATTCTGACCTAAGACAGCCCCCTGTGTGCAGGGTAGATCTGCTGCATAAGGTTTGTGAGCAACTGGATCTTGGTGATCCGGAAACTGATCACCACACCTTTCTGCTGAGGTGCCTCTGGGCCCGTCTCAAACCACCAACCTTTCAGCAAGTCATCCGCTCTTACCTGTCTCCCCCACTCTGGGCAATAGACAAGTATCTATTTGATCTGGAACCTATATGGCAAATGCCTTCGACGGGCCAAGCACAAATGCAAGTTCTAAAGAGGAAAACATGACCGGCACATTTACTGTTCTCCAGTTTCTGACAATCTAACAAGAGAAAGTGAGTGAGACATTCGATAAAGCATAATACAGTGTAATAAATCCTGTACTTAAATGAACAAAGGGTTCTGGGAGCACAGATACAGGTGTGTTTAATTAATTATTCCTGAGGAATTTAGAATTGGCTTTGCTAGGTCTTAAAGGATGAGTAGGGTTTCAGAAAGCAAAGTTTGGAAGATGCCTACAAGACACAGAGGCTGAGAAGCGCACAATAAAATCAGGTGACAAACTCGTTAAAAAGGGGGCTTCCTTCCTTTTAGGAAATGGTGGAGGTGTGAATAGTGGTGCAAGGCTGGAGTCAGCTCATGGAGGTCTTTGAATGCCTTAAGATTCCATTTTATGCTGAAAATGGTATAACTGGAAGAGAGAAATAAGTAGATCTGCAGTTTAAATGAGAATTCTACCTGTGGGGAAACAAGCGTATATAAGAACAAGAAAAGTGAAGCAGAAAAAGGCAGCCAGGAGGTGATGGAAGAGTTGATGCTTATACGCAGGTCATTACCATGCTAGGGAGACAGTGGAACTTACAGGAGACGTGGTAGAGGTAGAACCTACTGGGTTTAATGACCGACTGATGCGGATATATTGGAGGAAAAGAAGAAGCCAGGATGCTTTGGAGCTTTTTAGTTGGTTGATTAAATATATGACAATATCATTAGTTAGAACTGAGAAAACAATAGCAGGATCCTCTTTGGGCTTCGAGAAGTACTTGGGAGACACATGTGGAGATGCACCTTGGGGAAGCTCGGGAAGGAGGCAAGCCTTGAATTACAGGTTTAAGAGTCACCACTGGAGGCACCTAAGTGGCTTAGATAACCACCCAGGGTAAGCATGCAGAGTGAAAGTAGAGCCAAAAACCAACCCCCCAGGAACAGGACATCAAAGAGAGAAGGAAAAGAGGAGGGACTAGGGAAATCCCGGGGAGGGAGGGGGGAGCTGAGACAGTCAAAGAGGTAGGAGCGCCAGGGAGCAAGTGAAACCAAGGGGGAAGAAGGTGGCAAGAAGCAAGAGGAGGCCAAGGTGCGGGAATTCTCCAAGAAGAGACTGCTGCTGACTATCAGGGTTCTAGGAATTGGGGGAGAGGGATTCCAAGGGAGTGAGGAGATAAGCGAGATTCCCCAAGAGTAGAATGAAGAAGATCCCAGGAAGCAAAAGCAGTGGGGGTGTCTGACTCCAGGGGAAGAGCAGGCTCTGGGGATGGTGTGGCTGAGTTTTGAAGAATTGAAGGACCATCAAGAATTCCAACCCGAAGGCCTCTAACTTGGGAGAAGAATGTGGGGACCTCATCTACCCTATGACTTGAGTCCCTGGAGTCCCTGCTTCACGTTAAGCTAGCCTTGAAGCGTGCCACGTATAAACTGTTGCTGAAGCCACTCTGACTGTTGATGCACGATTTGTGTCTTCGGACAAGGAGTGTGGCAGCCAGGGGGGACCCTATGAAAGCACTTGATGTCGTGGGAAGATGGGGTGTTAGGATTTGGATGATTTCACTAAAGGAACAGTAATTTTAGGCTGTTGCTGGGAGATAGAGGCACTAACAGGTTAGCCATGAACCCCAGATGCTAGAGTTGAGTAGAAACAAACTGAGGGCACAGGAAGCAGGTATCAGGGAGGAGAAGAGGAGCCAGAGGAATGGCGTATGAGACACCAAGCGAAGGGGGTGTTTGCAGAAGGAGAGTGTTGAATGATGCAGGGGAAAATGAGAGGAAGTTTCTTTATGTGGGATGAATATCGATCAAGCCTTGAAAGAGTATTTCCAATGTAATAAGGCAGTAGCTTTGTGTGGGAAGTAAATCAAAGATAATGTCCTCCTTTTTTTGCAATAAATAATTTATCTCCTATGTACAGTGAACTCTTACACATAATGTGCCTGTGTGTGATTATGCCTCTCTATACTTTATGTACCCAGGGTCTCATGTGAAATATAAACTCAGCTCACGTCCAGTGAGTCAGTCCCAGCTCATGGTGACCCTACAGGACAGGGTAGAATTGCTCCCATTGGGTTCCAAAACTGTAACTCTTTCCAGGACTAGAAAGCCTCATCTTTCTCCCCGGAGCAGCTGGTGGTTTCAAACTGCTGATCTTGCAGTGAGCAGCCCAAAGCCTAATCACTCTGCCAGCAGGGCTCCCATGGGAAATTAAATTAATATAAATAAAACCTCACACTAAGAATATCACACAAATGTACACATAGTTCACTATATATTATACACCTAATCTATTAAGGTTCAAAAACCTCAAAGGATGTGTGAATCACTTTTGAATGATTATCTCTCTCTCTCTCTCTCTTTCTTTTAAGTATCAGTGGAAACTGCCTTGTTGTCCCAAGAAAGGTGGTTAAATGTACCAATATAGAGAAAGGAGGATAAGCTTATTGTTTTTGAGGATTCTATGCTGGAGTTTCTATGATGTTTGTTGATCTATAACTGCATTTCATTCATTTTCTCTCTCTCTCTCTCTCTCTCTCTCTCTCTCTCTCTCTCTCTCTCTCTCCTGCCATCCCTCCCCCCTCTCATCTTCCAGTGGAATGGAGCATGTCCAAAGACTTCTTTCCTTTGGCTGGAGAAATCATCATGGATAACCTGCAGGCGCTGAGATGCACAATCACAGGACTTGTGATGGTAAACACCACCTCCTCCCATCAGACAGCCCTTTCCCCCTCCCTGAGGTTTGTGTTGGGATCCGGGTAACAAATGTCTACTCTGAAAGCAACAGTCAACGCCCAGTCCTCTGGCAGCAACTGCCACTCATTAAGCGTGATATGTCTGGTATCCATAATCTGAATTTTACAAAGGAGTAAGCAGACAGCATGAACCACTTTGTAAGCTGTCATGTTCCGAGGAGATCAGAAAAAAATGGCCTCATGCAAGCCTTGAAAGCGGCTGCTTTCTGGACCGCAGTCTAATCTTCTGGGGAAGGAGGGGGATCAAAGGCTCTGAGAGATCCAATTTTGACTCCCTGTCTGACGGTAAAAATAACAGCCTCATCTCACCCTCGCCCCCACCACCTTGGTGGGGATCAGTCATCGATTGGAGTCACACAATTTCCTGAGAGAAATCCTTTCCCCTTGATTAAAAAAAAAAAAGGTCTAAGCTTGCTTTCCCAAAGAAGAAGGTATAGAGGAGGGTGCTACTTTTCGAAGTAACCTGAACCAATTTGAGCTGTGAATGAAAGCCCGGGGCAAACTGTGCTCATTTATTTAACCAATCTACACTCACACGTTAATTATTTAGGGCATCATGAAAGCAGACACCACAGTGCAAACATGAGAACCCCAGGCCAGCCCGTTCACCCTGGAAGCACCCCTTTTTCCCCTCCAACAAGTACAGTGCAACAAAATGGATCGTCAGGACCCCCTCACCAAAAAACAAACAAACCCGTCTTCTTAAAACTTATACTCGAATTCTCAAAACAAATCAATTCCTTGAGATCGTTGCATGGAGGAGTTAGGGAAAGAACTATGGTGGTAGCATTTTTTGGTCTTGTTTGTTGTTGTTGTTGTTGTTGTTTCGAACAGGGTAATCGGTGGAAGCAGTGTATTTCTAACGTATAACCTTGAAACTCATCCTTAAGAAGCTTCATTAGTTGCATCTCCTGCATTTTGAAAAAGCTTCTTCTACTACAATTCTGGGTGGTTTGGAGGACTACCACCGGAGTCTCACCTTTAGGCCTAATCACAGGCCCCCCAAACTGGCTGACACTGAAGCAGGCCCAAGTGGGTGAACCCCAAGCTTGAGATGGCATCAGCAGCCTCCTGGTTTCCAGTCTGAGGGCTCGTGTGGTGGACGCCTGAGGGAATTTCCAATTGCTGTAAAGGAAAGGAATATGGTTCCCCATAGGAAGTTCTCTAATATCTGAACTAATTTCTAGAGGGATTTTCTTCGTCCTCTTAGCTGTCCAATGAGAGCAGACACTCCTTTCCTCATGAACCCTTGGAAGCGGATTGACAGCTTGCAGCACCCTGTGGCCTTGAGAGGCAGACACACACACTCATTGCTCACAAACCAGCTTCAGAAGATGGCGAGGTCAATGCGGTGCACGTCTTAGCCAAGGCTCTAGAAAGACGTGTTTCGCTTTGGTTTTTTTCACTTCAAACACCCTTTTGCCAGTTTTGCAAGTAGTTTCTGATCACGTGTGGCCTTCTTCAATGCTCCATGGCGGTCACTGAAGAAACTACTCCAAGTAAAACTACGAAGTCATTTGAAAAGAAAATCAACAAGCAAAAATAACTCCTTCATTCCTAAGACCATAGAAAGCAAAGCATTAAAGAATGTAAGCCATCATTTTATAATGGCTTTTAAATGGAGTCAAATTGAAGAGTTAACCTTTTTTTTTTTTTTGAAGTATGGGAGATGTCTCTGTTGCTATGAGGGGCTGTCACATGGACGCTCCCTGTGCACAACAGACTGCACCGCTGCCAGGCCGAAATCTAGCGTCATGCTCATGACGGTGTTTGAGCCCATTCAGTCACGGCATCAATCCACCTGCTTGAGGTTTTGAGGGTCTTCATCTTTTTCGTGGACCCTTTCCCTTACCAAGCGCACTATCTTTCTACTGGGACTCTTCCCCGTTACCATGTCTAAAATACAGGAGACACCATCTCACCACCTTGCCTTCTAAAGGAGAATTCTGACCGTCCTTTCCCCGTGAGATGTGTTGGTGCTCCTGCCAGCTCATGGCGTCTTTGACCTTCCGTTCTTCTTTGGTCATCCTTACCCATTGTCCAGCTGTCCTGTGCTTAGAGGTGACTGAGAAGACCGTCGTTCGGACCAGGCACAGATGCCACTGTGACCACAAGCTCTCTGCCGCAGATGTGCCCGTTGCAAGACAGCGTGTGATTTCTTGACGACTGCTTCCACGGGTGTCGACTGTGGATCCCCCAGAAACGAAATCCTTGTCAACTTCCAAACGGTCTCCAGTGATCCTGCTGTTGCTTATCGGTCCAGTTGGGAGGATTTCTGGTTTCTTCGTGTTGCGGCACAGTCCCTGTGGGAAGCTGCAGTCATTGATCTTCATCAGGAAGTGCTTCAGGGCCACTTCGCTTTCCAAGCCAGGTTGCCTCATCGGCACAGTGCGGGGCAGTTCCTGAATCTTCCTCCAGCCCTGAGGGTGCTTTCTTCTTCAGATGGCCCAGCTTCTCAGAAGATTTGCATACAGATGGACTAATGCTGGTGAATGGAACAAGGGACACTTATCATGACATTATTTATCATGCACAAACACTAGGGACGATCTTCATGGGCACCAGTGAAGGACTGGTTAAATAAAGTATGGGTTTTCCCACAGTGAAGTATATGCCCCACTGAACTATTGAGGTGGATCTTTAAGATAAAAATTGAGAAAGCTCTCCATGAGTCCTTACTTATTGCAGGAAGCAGGTTAATAAGCTAAAGGCGATAAGGATATTTTCTTTGGAGGAGGGGAAAGAAGGAGGAAGCGATAAGGGTGAGGGATGGCTGTCTGGTAAGGACACCTCATAAAGTGTGAGTTTTAAAGATCATTGTCTGACTTTTTTCATGCAGGAGAGATCCTTATGTTATTCTAATTTTTTTTTTTTTAAAGAAAGCATCTGTAAACTATGAAGGTACTCTTAAATGACTGTTATATACACTTAATAATCAAGACAGCCAAAGAGCAAAACCAGGAGCAGGGAAGTTGGAAAGCGCCATCCTCAGACACAGGAGTCTGTATCTAGGGCAAAAGTGAGTCATCAAACACCTGACACGCCCTTCTTTCTATTTTGGTTCCTTGCAGGGGCAACAGTACTTTGTTCAAGTTTCGGCTTATAACATGAAAGGATGGGGACCTGCTCAGACCACCACACCGGCATGCGCCTCTCCTTCTAGTAGGTGCTGGCTGTGAACCCTCTCCAATTGGGCAACAAGCTCCAACTCCACCTCCATCCTTTGGGTGCCTCTGTCATTCCCTCTCCCCACTGCGGGGGGGTT